CCCAACCCTCATCCACCCTGTTCCTTTGGTTGTAAGGCTAATTCAATTTGTACGAATAAAACACTTGTAGATGCAGTAAAAAAAAAAATAACTGGTGATGAATTTAAAGGAATTCTATAGTGTAAGGAATATAAAGTTGTATTCCTTACACTATAGAGCACTTTGGATTCCCTCCCTTCCTCGCGCCTTGCCGGCTCAGAAAAGGTTAAAAAAAAAAACCTTAGACCCTCCCCATAGGAAAACAATGTTTCAATGCTTTACTGTGTGGATTTTACTGATGCTGGATGTTCTCATCCAGAGCATGAGGACATCCAGCGTCAGTTAAATGACCAAAAGTCACTTAGCCACCAGGATGTGCCTCTAGTGGCTGTCTGATTGGCAGCCCTTAGAGGCACTACTAGTGCTGCAAAGTAATCATATGCAGTTTCTCAAAAACCGTAACGATTTACATTGTAGGACTAAGTGGGACTGGGACACTGCACCCAGACCAATGCAATGTGTTGAAGTGGACTGGGTCCGTATAGTGTCCATTTACACATGTTTTGTGTGTAGTGTTGGCATTTGAATGCAGTTTTATGTTTGTATGTACTGTTGCTATTTGAAACCAGTGGTATTCTTGTGTTTAGTGTTTGTGTTGAATGTATTTGTTTGTACAGTTGGTGCTTGATTGCTGGGTGCACATGCACTGCCTCGCACATACACACTGAAGCAAACACAGATACACACACTGACACACACAAATACAAACTGACAGACACACTCTCAATGACAGACATACACTCTCACTGATTTGTGATTTGAAATACTCGCTGACAGACACACACATACACACTGGCAGACACGCTCACTGACAGACACACACATACACTGATAGACACACTCACACATTTATGCATTCTTACACACACACTTACAAATTCATTTTATGGTTTTATTTTTTTAGGCCCATCCAGCCTCCCTGCCTTTGGGAGAGCTGGTGTGGGTCTTCTCCCTCCAGTCCAGTGGGGATATTTTCCATGGGGCCCAGTGGGGATTTCTCCCTTCGGTCAAGTGGCTCCTGTAATCCAGTTCCTCACTGCTCCCTTTCACAATGTTTAGTGATGGATGGGCCTGAGTGACATATTCCTTTGCACAGCCTGTCTGGCTATATTTACCTCACTCAACATTTGAGATAGAGTTGGACAGAAGTTTAATTTGACCTCAAACTCATCACCTCAAAACCCATTTCTAAAAAACAGATTTCCCCCCAGGGATGTTCCCCAGAGACTTCAACAACCTAGAGGAGGCAGGTATTCAACTATATATACACTTATGGAACAATTCTAATGTGATTACTTACCAGAAGTTGCACAGGGAACATACCCTGAATAGCCAAGGCCACTTTAGATAAATACAAATAAGGGATTTCGCACAAAAAGAGGAAGTCAAAAAGGTTGCGAGTTCACAGTTAACGTTTTGTGCAAGCATGTGCATGCAAGGTACTCCCATGGAGCCTTATCTCTATAATATACACTTCTATCTGCACCAGCATGTTAATTTTGGGCTCATTATGCTATGTAGTTAAATGGAAACAGGACTTTAGGGAGTTGTTGGAGGGAGACTCATGGGAGGATATATGGGAAGCAGCTGGGGGATATCTATAAGTGTCATATCCCAAGAGCTGATGTTTAAATGTCCATTTAGATGGCATAACACTTTAGTCCAGCTTCCCCATATTGGCAGAGTTCAATAATACTTGCTGGAGCCTATGTGGCCACTGAGGTACTTACCTCCACATGTGGTGGATATATCTAATAATGGTTTCCTTCTGGGCAGAGGTAGGGGACCTACTAGCAGCAGTCTTCCATAGACCCTTTACTCTAGACCCCTGGTTGTTTCTATTATCATGATCTCTGCAGGCCTTCCGGAGGAGAGCCCAGAAACCCTTCAATGAGATAACATTAACTGCGAGGAGAGCCCTGGCTGCCGCATGGATGGGAACACATTCCCATAAATTGGGGAGGTGACCTTGACCTTTTCGCTCAATGATACCCAGAGCATCAATTTACAAATGTTCTCTTTCCATGTGAGGCCTCACCCATCACTGGAGAGATTCAGAACTCATTATATTCACTGCATGTTGGGCAACATGTGTTCTAGTTGAGCGTGGGGAAACATTTATTTCCTGTACTTCATCATGTGGTGCAACTGTCTATTTAATGCAGGTTTTAAATGGGGGTTACCTCTAGTGTATTGAATGACACTGCTTAGTGTATGTCTACTAAGAGATCTGGATCTCATGTCCTACCAGTCATCACAAATTTGACCTAAGAACTGTGTAATGTTTGGTGGATGAATCCCTTGGTGATTACATGGACCAAACAACTTGCAATATATCATAGGAGCAGTTACCAGCACTAGAAACATTTTATGGTGCCAGGAGTCTCTGGATGTATCCGGTTTGACACATACCTTGGTCCACCAGGCACCTCTAGTCAGGCTTCCTCTTCGATATATCTAGAGTGAATGTTCCCTTTCTACAATAGATTTATCAAATTCATCCTTTTTAAGATGGAATTCGTTGGCTGAGAACCGAAGCTGACACTCTCAGACAATTATTTCCAAGCAAACCTATTTTACATCACTAATGCAAAATTAAGATTTTTTGCATCATTAGAAGAGTATGCAGGCAGTATCTTTTCTCATATCCATTTTCCTACCCCTTTTATCTTTTTGTCTCTCTACTGAGGCACTGATACCCATTTTTCATTGAACTTAGAGACAGTGCCTATCAGAGAGCAACCTTGGACTTGGCAGGCGCACCTAATTGCGGCGGGTACCCACATGGAGATGGGAACGCCGCAGTCTTATACTTACCTTGCTCCAGCGGCACCTTTCGGTCCCACTCCGAGCCTGATCTCTGTTCTGAAGGGCGTGCATCATGCCCCTATCTCTTCCACAGGGTCCGTGTCAGGAATTATTAAAGATGCAAATGAGAGCCTTTTAAGGCTCCAAATTTACCCCTTTGTATCTGATGCTCGGGAAAGTGTGTGTGACGTCACGCACGTTCCAAAGTCACATGTTCCTCAGCAGCCAATCATTGAGACTCTTAGACTATTTAAGGCGTTTTTGAACATTTTTCAGTGCCCTGTCGTGATTCCCACTTTGGTTATCCGAGAGTGCATTTATGGTATTGTTTCTTGTGTATATTGATCTTGGCTTGTTCATTGATTATTCTGACTCCTGTATCCCTTGACCTTTGGCTTGCTATTTGACTATTCTGACTTCTATATCCCGTGACCTTTGGCTTGCCTATCATTTACGTAGACTTGTTTTCCTGACATCAGCCTGTCTTGTGCTATTCTTTTGTAACATTAAATCCAGTCATTATGTTAGATATTTAACCAGTAGCACTCTAACCTGTCTTTCAAAATGTATAGAATGGGGAAATGAGACATGCTGGTAAATTTCAGAAGCTGTGTACAGTCGAAGAGGAAATCATTACTCTATGCAGTTGCTTCCTCTTAAAAAAATGTTTTTTTTTAAATTGTCGCTAAATGTAGTTCAGCTTTGTTGAAGAATTTAAAAGAAAAATGTATAAGTCTCCCATGCTAAGTGGGAAGAGTCGATTCTAACCCCTAGGAAATTCTTCACACTGTTAATCTTTATGTTTATTAAGGTTTATTTGGTTTTATAATATGATTGTTTGCATGTGTGTGTTTAGAGACTGGGTGCCTGTATACAGTTGCAAGAAAAAGTATGTGAACCCTTTGGAATGATATGGATTTCTGCACAGATTGGTCATAAAATGTGATCTGATCATCATCTAAGTCACAACAATAGACAATCACAGTCTGCTTAAACTAATAACACACAAAGAATGAAATGTTGCCATGTTTTTATTGAACACACCATGTAAACATTCACAGTGCAGGTGGAAAAAGTATGTGAACCCCTAGACTAATGACATCTCCAAGAGCTAATTGGAGTGAGATGTCAGCCAACTGGAGTCCAATCAATGAAATGAGATTGGAGGTGTTGGTTACAGCTGCCCTGCCCTATAAAAACCACACACCAGTTCTGGGTTTGCTTTTCACAAGAAGCATTGCCTGATGTAAATGATGCCTCATACAAAAGAGCTCTCAGAAGACCTACGATTAAGAATTGTTGACTTGCATAAAGCTGGAAAGGGTTATAAAAGTATTTCCAAAAGCCTTGCTGTTCATCAGTCCACAGTAAGACAAATTGTCTATAAATGGAGAAAGTTCAGCACTGCTGCTACTCTCCCTAGTAGTGGCCATCCTGTAAAGATGACTGCAAGAGCACAGCGCAGACTGCTCAGTGAGGTGAAGAAGAATCCTAGAGTATCATCTAAAGACTTACAAAAGTCACTGGCAAATGCTAACATCCCTGTTAGTGAATCTACAATACGTAAAACACTAAATAAGAATGGATTTCATGGGAGGATACCACAGAGGAAGCCATTGCTGTCCAAACAAAACATTGCTGCACGTTTACAGTTTGCCCAAGAGCACCTGGATGTTCCACAGCAGTACTGGCAAAATATTCTGTGGACAGATGAAACCAAAGTTGAGTTGTTTGGAAGAAACACACAACACTATGTGTGGCAAAAAAAAGGCACAGCACACCAACATCAAAACCTCATCCCAACTGTGAAGTATGATGGTGGGGGCATCATGGTTTGGGGCTGCTTTGCTGCATCAGGGCCTGGACGGATTGCTATCATGGAAGGAAACATGAATTCCCAAGTTTATCAAGACATTTTGCAGGAGAACTTAAGGCTATCTGTCTACCAGCTGAAGCTCAACAGAAGATGGGTGTTGCAACAGGACAATGACCCAAAGCATAGAAGTAAATCAACAACAGAATGGCTTAAACAGAAGAAAATACGCCTTCTGAAGTGGCCCAGTCAGAGTCCTGACCTCAACCCGATTGAGATGCTGTGGCATGACCTCAAGAAAGCGATTCACACCAGACATCCCAAGAATATTGCTGAACTGAAACAGTTCTGTAAAGAGGAATGGTCAAGAATTACTCCTGACCGTTGTGCACGTCTGATCTGCAACTACAGGAAACGTTTGGTTGAAGTTATTGCTGCCAAAGGAGGTTCAACCAGTTATTAAATCCAAGGGTTCACATACTTTTTCCACCTGCGCTGTGAATGTTTACATGGTGTGTTCAATAAAAACATGGCAACATTTCATTCTTTGTGTGTTATTAGTTTAAGCAGACTGTGATTGTCTATTGTTTTGACTTAGATGATGATCAGATCACATTTTATGACCAATTTGTGCAGAAATCCATATCATTCCAAAGGGTTCACATATTTTTTCTTGCAACTGTATATGGTTTGGATTGTAAAGCTAACCTTTTA